GGGAGGACCACCAAAAAACCCAGAATTCGACAACTGTCACGAGGATCGTGGGCCTGGCACGCAAAAACCTCGTATTTTGCGTGGTTTTTCGCATCTTCAAAGCCTTTCCAATTGGACAAATAGACTAAAAAGCGCGCCGCGCCCCCCAGAATCAAGTGTGCAGGGTTTAGGGTATTTGCTTTAATATAGCAATATTGGCGTACGCCCGGGACAGGTCTACTGTCCCTATTGAGAACAGGTTCACGCTTGTGGTGCCACGTACGTGCTAGTTGTGTAGTTCCGTGGTAGGCATTTAGCCCGGGATGGAAGGGAGTCGCAAAAGTAGCGAGGGGCGCTTTGGCCGCCGCCGCTTACAAGGCGGCGGCGCTTAGGCCGGAGTTTAGGGTTTAAGGTTTAGGGTTTAGGGTTTAGGGTTTAGGGTTTAGGGTTTAGGGTTTAGGGGTTTAGGGTTTAGGGTTTAGGGTTTAGGGTTTAGGGTTTAGGGTTTAGGGTTTAGGGTTTAGGGTTTAGGGTTTAGGGTTTAGGGTTTAGGGTTTAGGGTTTGCGCAGGGCACAGCAGTCACGGCCACCCCGCTTGGGCACACAACTTCGATGAGATTTTTTTCGGCGTCGGAGTGCGCCGGAGAGCATCGGAGACTGGGGCCTTGTGTCGGCCGCGTCAGCATTTCTTTTCCCACCCGCGCCCATGAAGGGCGGCTCCCGCCCTTAACCAGCTCCGCCTTTTAGGGTTTAGTTTCCTAAACTCTTTTTTTTCCTTTCGCAGGGCAGACAATGAGAGTCATGCAGCAACGCTTGCGGTCGTGGGAGACGCGAGTTCTGCAGCAATGCTTGCAGTCGTATTGAGAGCCCTCGACATCATGCATGGCGAAATTTCGTTCGGAGTTAGGTCCTGGGTCGGCAATGTGACGACTTGCAGTCGCTTTCGCCGGGCGACGGTCTGCAGCTGTAAGCAGCGAGGGTCATGGCTTGCATCTCGCCACTGCCGCCTCTGCGGTTCGGACAGTAGGAACGCTTCATCCATACCCCCGACACGCCAGGGCGTAATCGTAGTATGTACTAAGAGCGAGCAGGATATGACATTCGGATGCTGCGAAGGTAGATCAATATCTAGCCCAGGGTTCGAAACCCATAAAGCGATGTCGTGCCAAGCCACGGAGGAAGTTCAGGGGAGCGAACAATGCCGTATTGGTTGTCAGCGTTGAAGCCTTACTGAAGCTCTAATAACGCCATATCAAAACCATCCGAAGCTTCTATTCGCACCCTTTTACGGCCGCATTAAGCTTCCATCAAAGCCACGTTAAAGCCATATTAAGCTCTTATTCAAGCTTGTGTAAGGCCTTTGTACAGTTGTATGAAAGTCGCACGGAAGCCATAGTAAAACCTTATTAAAGCATTCTTGAACACTATTCCTGAACACGAGAGTTTTCACCCTCTTCCTTAATATTTAGGCTTTAGGATTTCGCGCTAAACCCTAAACCCATTCCTAAACACGACAGCTTTACGATTTGGCGCGAAACTTTTCCTAAGCACTAAAGCTTTAGGATCTAGTGCTAACCCCTATTCCTAAACCCCAAACAAAGCTTTAGGATTTAGGTCAAGCCTATTCCTAAACACTTTTCTTGGTGATTTAGGTATCAGAGCGAAGGAACACCGAGATCGGTCCGTCCCCCAAATACAAAACCTGTTTTTCCCGAGGAGAATTTATCACGCCAAAAATCCGCTTCCGATTTTAGAGAAATCAGCCGTCAAACAGCATGCCTAAGCACGAACTTAAACAAAAAGTCTCTAGGATTTGTTTGGCGCTAACTCTGATCCTAAACACTAAAGCTTTAGGATGTAACGCTCCTCCCTGTTCATAAGCACTAAAGCTAGACGCTAAAGCTTGAGTAAACGACAACTTACTGGAAGCACGACAGTCAGGCAAGGAGCAGCACGAAAGCCTTACTGTTTGAACCTAACACGGCTCCTAAACACTTAGGCTTTAGTTCTAAACGCTATTCCTGACCACGAAAGCTTGCGTAAACGAGAACTTTGCTGGAATGACGACAGTGAGGTAAGGATTTTCAATGGGTCCTCAGATTGAGGGCGGAGCAGCTGCAGTCCGTGTGGGCTGAGGTTTTATGATAGATAAACCGTGACACGTGACGCATCACTATCTAACTAGCAGCGCAGGACGGCGTAAACCTACGCCCGGGTTCCCAAGTCCCGGGGCCTCACTTGCCGTAGCACGAAGATGCCAGTGAGGTAAGGGTGAGGGACCGCTTCTGCGCAGTGAATCCATTTCAACGTGCGATTTTAATCGAGTCGCTGCCATCATCCAGAATGAACTAGCGTTCAAAACCGTTGTTGTTGTTGGCAGCTCAAAACGATGCAAACCTACAGCCGGGCTCCCAGAATCCGGGGCCGCAGCACGAAGGCGTCAGTGGGGTAAGGGCGAGGGCCGCGTCCTGCCAATAGATCCGCTTGAAGCGAGGACATGCCCGGAGGCAGTGTCGCCAGTCATAGTGGAGCAGCAACACATTCTCGTGACATCGTCTTTCATCGCCCCTTCGAAAGTTTTAACTGTCCCGTGTTTTCCCAGTGAAAAGCTTCTCCCGCCGAGAATGCACGGTATGCAACCCTCCAGAAACGTTTTGTTTCGGCTCCCATGATGCTTCGAGTCCGCAGACGGGCACGACAGACAGCCCAGCGCGGACTCAGTGGCTGCAACACAAGAAGCATCGCTACTGTTGGTCTCGATCATATTATAACTGACACGTCGACTCCATTCTGTGTTATCTCTTCGATTTGCACCCTCGTCTGGGATCGGAAGACTCTGTCCACATCCGTTTCTTGTGCACACGGAGCGGCCACGCACACTCTCTCTTGCGAGAACAATGTGGTCGGCCGACTGGTGGCTCGAGCAAGAGCACAGCATAAGCACTTTCGCGCCGCAGTCGTTGAAGCCTCTCTGACACCGCTGAGCAGCATGCGCGGCGCTCGGCATGCACGCGGCCCGTGAAGCGCAATAGCAGGACATGCGCGCTCGCAGGTTCAGCTTCAGGGCACTCAGCCTTGTGGTGTGTTCGCACCTCAGAAACCTCAGGACCAGAGCTCAAGTCTACCACGCTTGTGTTTTTGTTCCTCAGGCGCAGGTCTCGCGGGCTGGTGCACAGGCCGGTCGACCAACGCTCGCCATGAAATCGGGACCTGCGCAGACGCGAGGCGTGGCCTATGCCGCCCAAGGCCAAGCGACCTCTCGCAGCCAGACACATCGAACGCTGGTGGAGCCGTGCAGCAAACAGGAGCCCCTCCGGTGCCGGCAGCCGGACTTCCGACTGAAGGCTGTTGCGGAAGGGCTTACAAGGGGACACGCAGCAGGCAGACATGGAGACAGGGGGAGAAAAGAGAGAGGAGCGAGAGACAGACTGCGGATGTATGTCTCGTGTATATAGTAGTGTACATCTATACACACATAACATGCGCAGACGTACGTACCTACAAACGGAGAGGTGTAGTCGTAGACATGTACACACACGTAATTATACATATATTGATTGTGTGTGTACGTGCATATATACGTACATATTCCATACGTACGTACGTGCCCAAATACCTGTACCTGTATACATATAGCCACGCAGAGCTTACACGCACACGCACGCAGTCGCGCACTGACTCTCTCATGCCATTTATGTGTGTGCCATCGAGGTGGAGAACCCGAAGTGCCCGAGGCCGGATCAGGACAGTCCGAACCGCGGTCCCTGCGTTGGGTGTTCTGTCAGGTGCCTGCACCGGTGGACGCCCACGGCTTGGACTTCCCGGCGTGGGACTGAGGGGAAAACGCTGCCTCCGAGGTAGCAGCTCCCGAAGACGGCATGGCCCTTGGTCTGAGAGGCTGTTTCGAGCAAGTTGTGCAGCAGTAGTTCATGACAGGTGAGCACAGCGCAGCAGCACGGCCCTGAGTCGTGCGGACGAGACGACGACGACGACGACCGCGACTGCAAAGCGTGCCGTGCTTGTTAGTTCCCTTTTGCTGTCAGGCCACTACTGCCGACGAGGGGTCCGGTGGGATCCCCGAACCGAGAGACAGTGGCTGCAGGAACCTGAGCGCCTGACATGCAGGCGTGGGACCTGTCGAATCCTCTCAAGCCGAGGCGGGCTCCTGACTCCTGCTCCTGGTAGTGTGCAATCTTCTGACGTCACGGTGTCGCAGGCTCCTGCGCCGCCGCAGGCAGAGCCGGAAGCGGACCCGGCCTGAAGCTCGGAGGGAAAACCAGCGACATCGGAGACTGCCTTAATCTGCTTGCGAGGCGGCAAACGAGGGTGCGAGCCCGCGTCGTGCCAGCTATTCTTCGGAGAAACATCGCATGGGGCAGGCGAAGCCGACGCCGAGGAGGAGGAGGAGGAAGTGGAGGCGGCGCCCTGGTCGGCGGTGGAGGGGGCTCTCTCAGGCAAGGGAGTGTTCGTGTTCCGGGCAAACACGGATAGTGGAGAGAGCGCAAGACCTCGCCTTGCAGACTGGTGGGAGATGGTGAGCTTCGGCAACTTGTGCCGGAAAGACAACCTCCTGAAAAGGCTCACCAGCAAGGATGCCATGCGCGCCGTCGCGGGGACCTGAAAAACTACAGGGCAGTGACGTGCGTGCACACACACACACACAGCAAGGAAGGAACTGCCCGACTTTGTAAGGCCCGCAACCTGGACGTCCCCTGGCAGGCGGTGTACGCGCACCGCGAGGCTGTGAAGGCCCGGAGACAGTAAATCAAGTGCCACGGGCTCGAACTGAAATTCGGTGCAACTTGCAAGGCATGGCTCCTGCTCAAAGTGAAGGGCCACGAGGAAGGCAAGGCCAAGGCCGGGATTGGAGACCGCACAGTCACGACTGGATCGGCCGAACATAACCTGCGGAGGCGTCCAAAGCCGACAATGCCAAGGCCGAGGGGAAGGCGAAGGCTCGGCGACCGCCGGGCTGGAGTCGGCACGGAAATGCGTCTCGCCGTCTCGCTCTGCACGCCGAGGCGAAGGCCGAGGCTAAGAGAAAGGTGGAGGAGGTGGAGAAGAAGTTGGCCGAGCACGCTCAGTTGCTCGAGGCCGGTGCTGCACCGTCAGCACGTAGTAGCGGAATCGACGTAGGCTGGCCTCGTGCACAGGCCAAAAAGAGGCGGAAGCAGAGCGAGACAAGCGCCGACGCAACCGGCGTCAGGAGCTGAAGGACAAGGAGGACTCGGACTCCGAGGCCCGGAGAGCAGAGGTCGTGCATCTGCTTCGACGTCTATAACACACCGGCCGAGGCTTTCCGCAAACTTCAGAGCCTGCGGGACAAGGCGCAGGGAGGACTGGCCGGAAGAGACAACGCCCTAGCTGTCTGCGCGACAGGAGAATACTAGGAAGCACGATTCCCGGAAGCGGCTGAAGGCCAAGGCCGACGAGGGCCGGCGTATGGAAGAGGCCATCGTGATGTCTGACCTAAGCACACGGCCCCCTATGACGTTGACTACAGGAGCTGGACAAGCTCGAAAAAGAGCTGGAGGAAGTGCGCGGCAAGAAGCCGACGCGCAAGGCGGCGGGGTTGTCTGTCGCGCGCAGTCCGCGAAGTTGAAGAAAGTTGAAGCTCCGACCGAAGGAAGTCCTCCTCATATACGGGATGCGGGCGCTTCCCGTCCGCTCCGCAGATGTGCAACAGAGCCGTGCACGAGCTTCTGGAGCTTGCTCTTAATTGTTGACTCGAAAGGACGAGCCTCCGGCAAACACAAGCTCCACCGTGACGACGACGGAGGCCAGACTCGGATTAGAGCACGACTTGTCCGGATCCAGTTGTCGTGCCCGTCCCTGTCCGGAAGGTGCCGCTTCGTCCGAGCCACGAAACGGAGGTCCACTGCCAGATTCGCGGATGCAGGCTCTCACTGACCCGCACGCGACCCCTCCTACCACAATTATAGGCAGCCGACGCCGGCGGTGAGCCAACGGGGAAGGTGCGAGATGAAGGTGGCGCGGTGTTGCCACTCGTGATTGCATCGCGGCAGGGCGCGAAGAAAAAGAGCGACTCAACAACGAAGGCGCAGGACGTTGGTGGCGCGACTGTGTGACGTATTGAAACTATGACTGCTTGCGGCAGGCCGCCGCGAAGAAAAAGAAAAAGTCCGCAGAGGACACGGGGGAGGAGCCATCGGAGGGGGCAACGAGGCGGGCTCCGTGCACTCATCCCTCTGCAAGGGATTACTGCTGTTGAAGAGAAGACATCCTGCACTGAGGGACGGCTGGGAGGAGGTGCGTCCGGAGACGGCGCAAGAGGAGGCAGACAGTTCGTGGTGACGAAGTCGAAAAAAGAGATCTCGAGCGAACGATTGTTACATACCTGCAGGAACAACACCTCCAGCAGGCCGTCGCGGCCTCCCTGGAGGGCAGCACTCGCTGCCCTCACCTCCGCATCAGCCCCGCGGAGATTTCCACGCGGGGTGCCCAGACCGAGACTCGACCGGCGCCGCCGGCGCGACAGCATGGCCATCCAAGACGTGCAAGCCTGATTGCAGGACGTCGCGCGGCAGCCAGAGTGCCGCGTGAGCTGCGGAGGAAGCTGCGGCGCCCGCCCGCAAAAAAAATGAGCCGTCGCTAGGGTTCCGCGCAGGAGCTTCGAACAGGGCACGTGTCCGATGGCATAAATCAACGAAGTTTCGGCACAGTTGCAAAGAGAGTCGAGGAGCATCGCAATTCCATGCTTTTGTTTATGTATCTAGACCTTCTCGGCTAGTGGCACGGCCTACAGATCCAACACGGTAAACGAGAGTGCTTGAAGTGCTAGAGCAGCGCGAGCCTACTTCGAAGAGGTCGGACCTATGATAGGAAGGCCAAACCAGGGTGAGGAACAGCGCCGCGCCCGCGAAGGAGTCGGGTGGAACGTTCGGGACGTTCCTAATGCGGTCGCCAAGCCTCTTAAGCCCCGAGCGTCTGGTCAGCGATGTGAGAGCATGCCGAAAGAAAAAAATCGCAAGGAACAGAGGCATTTCGCGTGCCTTACTACCGGAGGCCCGTATCTGGAGGGAGATGGGGGGGGGGAGTACCGAAGTTGGATATGATCGTGTCAAGGTCATAAGTATACGCATTTATACATGTATACATAAATGTATGTATGTATGTATGTACGTATGTATGTATGTATGTCTGTATGTACGTATTTATAAATAATATATATACATATATATATATATATATATATATATATATATGTATGTATATGTACGTATATATGTGTGTTGTCGATATGCATACATGCATACATGTATGGATGTATATATATGTATTTATGTGCATATGTAGATATGTATGTATGTATGAATATATGCATAGATGCATATGTATATATATATATATATGTGAATATGTGTATATGTACGGACGCATGTATGGATGCATTCCTATATGCATATACGCATATATATATATATATATATATATATATATATATGTATATATGTATATGTGTATATATGTGTATATGTGTAGATGTATGTATATATATATATATATATATATACATATGTATATAACATATGTATTTATGTATATATGTATATATGTAGATCAAGATATCAGTGTATATGTATATATGTATATACGTATATGTGTATATGTGTGTATATGTGTATATGTATATATATGTACATATGTATATATGTATATATGTATATATGTATATCAGTGTATATGTATATATGTATATATGTATATGTGTATATATGTGTGTGTGTATATATATATGTACATATATACCTATCTGTAAATACATGTGTATATGTATATATGTCTATATGTATATATGTATATATGTGTATATGTATATATGTATATATGTATATATCTGTAGATCTATATATCTATATGTCTATATATATATATATACATATGTATATGTATACATATATATCATATAGGTGTGTTTATACATATATAGGTATATCTTTATATCCACGTAGGTAGATATGCATGTTTATCGGTGTATCTGTACACATACGTAATGTATATATAAATATAGACTTATGAATACATATATGACATATTTGACATATGCTATATGTACTCTAATTACGGTCCGTCCGGGGGGCCCCCCCGGATCCTCGGGACCCCCCCGGACCCCCCCGGACCCCCCCGGACCCCCCCGGACACCCCCCGGACACCCCCAGACCCCCCCCGGACGAATCGTCGACGACCACGCAGAGGAGATTGCACAGTTGTGCAAAGTATAGCGAAATGCCTATGTTTCGTAGCAAATCTGAAAAAAACGTACACCGTAAAATGTCGGATTTTTGGCGTTGCCTTTGCTTGCCCTCGGGCACGGCCGGGCGTGCATTTGCCGCCACGATAGGCGTTTCCCTATGTTTTGAGTGGATGCACGCAACGTGGCTGCGCGGACCCCGCGCGTCCAGAACGGCGCCGCAGCACGCAAACGGCAAAGTACCGGGCAAGGCGTGCCTCCATTTCGCACGTTCCTTTAAGGTAGAGGAGGACCCGCGAAGGCAAGTACTCGCCACCTTGTACTTTGTGAGGCTCTCCACACTAAGGTCCGAGACTGTTAGGAATCCCCCCGGGACCGTCAGGTGGCACTGACGGCTCGGGGGGAACCAGGCCTGGGTAATTTTGCTTTTTTTTGTGCTTCCGTAAAACCAACCATTACCGGTAGCGACAGCATCTCTTGTTCTTATTCTTGTTCTTGTTATTGTTACTGTTCTTATTCTTGTTCTTGTTGTTATTGTTATTGTTGTTCTTGTTGTTGTTGTTGTTGTTGCTACTGTTGTTCTTGTTGTTGCTGTTGTTGTTGTTCTTCTTCTTCGTATTGTTACTATTGTTGTTGTTGTTGTTGTGGTCATTGTTCTTGTTAGTATGCTTATTCTTCTTGTTGTTGGTGTTATTGTTCTTGTGGTTGCTGCTGTCGTTGTTGTTGTTGCTGTTGTTGTTGTTGTGGTTGTGATTGTTGCTGTTGTTGCTGTTGTTGTCGTTTCTGTTGCTGTGATTGTTGTTGTTGTTGCAGTTGCTGTTGTTGTTGCTGTTGCTGTTGTTGTTGATGATGATGTTGATGGCGTCGTTGTTGTTGGTGTTGTTGTTGCTGTCGGCGTCATTGTTATCGTGATATTGCCTCGCATCCAAGGCAACACAGATCGCGACTTGGGTCTCTCGCCTGCAGAACAGCTCCCGTTGCAGGTCGTTGTCGTGGGGCTCAGATTATTGAACAATCTTCAGAGCAACTGCCCGCAATGGAGCCAAGGTACAGGCAGCACAGTCGATTTCGGCAAACGTCGCCTGGAGCGAATGCGGGCAGAAAAAGAAGTACGCACTGTAGTCTTGGGATGAACACTTGCTCAGACGCATGATAACCAGATCCGGACTGTCAGTGCCCAAGCACAGCAAGCCGTAGCTGCCGCTAACAGCCCCTAGCGGGCTGAGGCCGTGTGAAGCATTTCTGTCCTTCGTCGTGGTCTTCTGTGCTTGTTCAGGTCATGTCTCTCAATCGACGGCCGGATGATTGGACAGAGGTTACTGTGGCTGCTGATGTATCGCCATAGGATCCTAGTCTGTCCTATGCCGTCAGGTCCGTCGTCGGTATGCCGCTTGGATCCGGGACCACTTGGGGGACGGCACAGACATGGTTGAGCTGAACCGGAAGGCAGGGCTCGTGCCCAGGAACCAACTTCAGTGAATATTCCTGCTCGCCAGGGCCTCGCGGAAGCCTCGGACCCTCTTCTCCGCAAGCTCTTCCTCTGCCGCCTCAGGAGTCACGGAAGAATCTTGTCGGAGTGGCTGCGGGCACGTTCGCTCTGCCAGGTACTGGATCCAAGAGTACCGACAGCTTGACTTGCAGCGTTACGGCCGGCGAAACAGGCGATGCAAACGCCAAGTGCGACGGCGTCTCACCCACAAGCAGCCACGGCCAGCAGCCTTCAGACGTGACGTGGCATAGGCATAAAACAGAATGCCTGCAGATGTAGTCGTATAGTTGTCTATCAGCTGCTCAGGTGTGAAGCCCTGGAGCGATACTCGCAGATGTGCAAGGGAGAGCACCGTATCCACCACCGCGCGTGTCGCTGAACATCGGCTCAAGACGACATCTCCTCAGCTCTTGTGTTGTGCGCCCGTCTGCAAGGCGGACCGATGCAGCATCGTTCTAACCTTGATTAAGCTTCTCGTCAATGTCCAGGTATCAAGCCGCCATGGTTCGCTCGGACCTCTGAATTTTCTATCGCAGAA